AACTCTGACCTCATTGCTGTAATTTATTATTGGCACATCCGACTATGGCAAATTCAGTCCTAATTTTTCATCCTAGTCAGCTAAGAGAGTCTGCAGTACTGAGTATTATCTCTCCACCACAGAGCAACCCTGAGACAGACTGCTTGTTGGCATTTCATACTGCTGCATGAAATTAAAAAATAGTCCAATTCATGCTAAAAATGCTTGTAGATTCTAAACAGCTGCAGGCTTTTCCATTGTTTGTCACTTTTGCCCCAGTTTGTGGCAAGAACCAGTGTCTTGCGGCTGGGAGACTTTTAAAGAAGCCATTTGAGCTGATGATTGATTTAAAATATTTGACACGATCATGTAAAATAGCTTGGGTTAATACAATTTTCTGTTAAATGTTAGTTCTGAGGTTATTAATCATATTCCTGGTATCCCATTACTTTTTCCCCATATACAATATGGGGAGTCTCATGTGTTGGTCATATGAAACAAACCAATATAAGAAACATATGCGTCCTAAAACTGAATGACAGATAAAATGGATAGGGACAAAAATTAACTTTGAGGCAAATTGTATTTGCTGAGAGATGGATTTGAGAATGCAAACCCTTTATCTGGACTCAGGTAAGACAAACGTAAGACAAAAAGTTTGTGGGTAAGTGGTAACATTGCCCTCCTACTGCTGGTGGCCTGCCATAGCTATTATAAAAACTTGCTGGACTGTTCTCTAGGCTCAAAGAAAATGGCTTCGTAATGCGGGCTGACATTTAAGGGGGCAGATCCTTACCTGGAGTAAATCAATGGAGCTCTGCCAATTTATACCACTTGATAGCCTGGTCTGAAAAGAATTGTAAGGAAAGAAGCATAAATTTTAGCCAACATATTGGACTCTTTTCAGCTCTGTTATGCAACAAAGCAAATTCTTGTAAATTGTTTGAGTAATGTTGTGGTTTCTAGGATAACAAACTAATGCCACAAACAGGATATCGAGTTAAAGTGATAAAACAAGATGTAGTGTACAAAGAAAAAATGGTGTTAGTATTTGGAAGATGTGCATAAGATGTGCCTATTTCTTTGTGTCCTGTGTAATAATGAGCAAAGTAAGCATAAAACTCCACCTTTCTGATTCAGTAGCCTTTTAAATCAGCTTTGCACAGCTATAAATGTATTGAGAATTATCAAGCAGCAAAGAGTCAAACCTATATTCTCATTCAAACTCCATTTGAAAAATATCAGCTGCTGAATGCTTTCAGCCTTCGCTTATTTCACTTGATAGAGTTACATATGTTGGAGAAGCTGAGTTACATACTGCATAAATAAACTGCAGCATGTGGCTTAATGCAGCAATTTGTGGCATATCTGTCCTAGGCAAGTTATAATATAGTTCTAGATTCCTGTAAAGTAGAGAGACAAAAACAAATGTGAATATCAAAGGCTTTCTGTTGATGCATTCAGCTTTGCAAATTTGATTTTTTAAGAAGACTCTTATTGGGTCTAATTCTTCAGACTTGTAATTTGTAAAGATATTTACATTTGTGCAATTTGGAGTAAAAATCAACCTACTGATTTTATAGGTATTTATACAATCATATTGTACGTGTGTAAATTACTATTTTGTGTGCAAAAGCATTGAAGAATCAGGGGTGCATTCCTTAGCAATTTCACCATTAATGCTTTCTTTTGTTCTTCTTCCTCAGTATACCTGCACTAATAATGAAATCAACAGATAAACAAAATACATAGTATTTAATACAAAGGACCTTTTTATTTTACTGGGAAAACAGCTTTAGGGAATGCAATAGACATGATTCAGTTGAGCTAGTTTAAACATGTCAAGCCAGTGTTCTGGTAGCCACTATGTATGTGAAGACATTGTGTTACCCATCACATATGATAATTCAGAGAGCAAGAATTGATGATAAATATAGGGGTGGAATTGCAGCAGCCAATCAATGTAAGTTGCTCTAGCTTGCTTTCTCAGGTAAGGGGATGGTAAGAAAAGCAACAGACAGGAGGCTGCAACTTTATTTTGCATCTTCTTATATTTTTCTCTTCTATTGCTTTTCCTGCTTTAAACTCACTCTTCTGCCCCACCACATCCTGTAAGTTACACCTCCTCTTCATTCTAGGCTGTAATTTACCAATGTCTTACTCCAGTTTTATACCACTGCACCTCTTCTACTAGACACAGTACTAGTACACCAGTAAGCCAGCCTGCCCCACAATTCCAGGTCAGTGTCATCATGGTGAATGGCATTAAGGCTGATGTAGAACTGGAATATTGTATAGTGAATTGGGTCCTTGTTAAGGGATGGACCATTGGTCCCTGTCCCATCTGATGTGACAATACAAAACAACTGAAAAGGGACAGTCAAATATTTCCACTGCTATCACCCAATACAGGAGAATCCTTGGATTGTGCAGAGCTGAGATAGTTGCTTTCAGGCCACTGCCTCTTACCCTCCAGCATCTCCAACGGGGAGTTAACCATGGTCAACTCTGCCAGGCGTCAGCTTGGTGTCACTGAGGATGGATGTTTGACTTATGGAAACACAGCTTTCATCACCATTACCTTACTTCTGAACATGGTCCTGATTGTGTTTATCCTTTTAAAAATGTTCTAAAGGTAGAAGCAAAGAAATACGTATTGGTAAGCAGGGCAACAAAGGTATAAACTGTAAAAGGGATGAGAGAGATCAGCCTGCAATCCTGAATCAGTGGGGCATGTCTAAATGTGCACTTTAATGTGCAGTAGCCTGTTTTACTGCACATTAAAGCATCACATAAAAAAACCCTGCTATTATGCTAATGCACAGTAAAATAGGCCACTGTCCATTAAGCGTCACTTTAAAACTGTGAGCGGTTGTTACTGTGTATTAAGGCAGCTAATGCGCATTTGTTTAGTACCTTACATTGGAGGTACTAAATTTACTGCACATAGGGGAAAGCGCCTTAATGCACGTGTAGACGTGCCCAGGGTCCCTTAGTACTTCTCCTCCATATGCAAGCTTGTCAACAGCCCCATCATAGGTTTTAATGAATGAGACACTCCAAGGACCATTGAACACTGAATTGTTAGTGGATGAGCCTGGAATTATTTAGCACAGGTGTTTCTATAGCTGTGATATATTGGGGAAATTGAATGTTCAACAACCATCATATTTCCAGCTGTGCCAGGGTTAATGTTAGTACAGTGAATCTACTGTTAAATATGTGAAAGTGTTTGCTGGTGCAGAACCTTGTTAAAAGTATTTTCTTACAGAATCTATGCTTCTATGTTTGCCTAGGTGTGTTTCTTCAGTCTAGCATTTCCACAAAGGGTGTAATATAGTTTTTACAAAGCTGTCACTGAAATCCTGGAATATCCTCCCAGCAACCAAGAAGATTGCTAGTCATTTTAACTAGTGTGCAGCACACGAGCAGGTGAAAATAGGATTATGAGGAATCTGATGACAGTCCATTATCCATAATACATTAATCTTGAGCAGTGCTTGTGCATCTGTTACATATTTAAGCATGTTTTTACTAGTGGCTCTAGAAATCTTGAAGCAAATGTTGCAAGGATCTATATGTAAAAGAACATAAAAGGAGCAAAGTTAACAAGGGAACAGGGAGTTATAAAATGAGGGTAGTGAAGTCCAGTCACCAGAAGGACAAGTTGTGAGATTCTTAAAAAGTTTTACATACACATGCACATGTGTATGCGCACACACACACATTAAATTATTAAATGGACTAGGAGTGCTTGTGTGGATTTGAAAACTCTCACACACCATGCTGTGAGCTGAATTGTGAGGTCAAATTACCCAAAAGTGTTTTATGGGTATCTTTTATGCCATAGCGGGTCAGTTATATTTATACTCTACTGGGTATTGTCTGCTATTGCCATAAATTTCTAACAATGCCTCTAAGCTATGAAAGTCTCTTCAGATCTTTCCTTGGGAAAGAAGATAAATACTAACATGCATCCAGACCCACAGATACCTGCATTAAAATTGAGTTTGGATAGAGCAAATATGTTTAAACAAACTCAGCTAAATCATGCAATGGCCAGCCTGGCCTTCCTAATTTACAGTATACCTGATTTAAGATGTGCCCCTCTCCCCTTGCATTGCCATCGTGATAGTTAGTATTTAGAGAAAGACTTAAACCTTCATTGTTGAAAGTCTACTGAAGTGAAAAAGTGACACATCACTTTTCATGAACTGTCAGTCTCAGAGATAGGAGGGCTTTCTCTCCATAATTGGTATAGCTTCTTTCGCACTGTTTTGGGTCATTAGATGGAGTAGGTATTTGTATGCAATATGAATTGGATTTATCTTGGTAGATGGAGTCTGAACTAAAGTACTGTAGGACCTGGATTGGCAGTTCGGATCCAGAAGTTGGATCCAACTTGTTGAGTACTTTATGCTCTTTGGCTGCATAGTAAGAAGCAGAGATTAAATACAGACGTGGAAAGGGTGGGGGGGGTGAGGCAGGAATTATATTCCTGCTCTGTCAAGAGAAGTCTTATAATTAAAAACTTCTTGTACAGAGTAGTTTGTCATTTATATTTGCAATTTTATTTTTGCCGAACTCTAAAGGCCCCATCTCTACCTTTTCATGCACAAGTTTACCAAATGTGCAGACATTTATCAAATAGGCCATCAGTAGCAGTAGAAATGCAGTAGTACATCCAAGTTAAAATTTTTGCTTTGATTGCTACAAATCCATGGAGCCCTTGGGTCCAAAGCTTCTACTGAAGCACAGCTATTTGCAAATAGATTTTTATAGCACATTAGTGCTGGAGGAGAGTCCAAAGAAAATAGTCCTTTTCAATATTAGAACCAGCTGTGACTTTCTTGTGCTGATGACTCATTCATTTTTTTTATAGGGTGGGAGAACTAGGCAAAAGACACACAGAGTCTTATTCAAGACGTTGTTTGTTTTGCAAAGGGTATCCTAGCCACAAGCCAACTTGATCATACCAATGTGCAACTCATGTTTATTTAAAACTTTTTTTCTTTTAACAGTTCCAATTATAAAAACAGAACCCACTGATGACTATGAACCTGCTCAAACCTGTGGACCAATGAACCAAGGATTAAACCCTCTCTCTAAACCATACTACAGCCAACAGATCATGATGCCTCCTGATCCTGGTTCGTGCCTTGTGGCTGGCTTCACTTCCTGTCAGCAGAGAAACACTGTGATGTCATCCTCTCCCAACTCAAGTCCCAAGCTGCATGACCTTTCATCTTCTGCTTACAAGTGCATCACCACCCCAGGTCACGGTCACCTAGGACTTCAGCAGCCCACTGGAGGTGTCCCCACCATACAGGAAGTGCCAAGGCCTATAGTTGTGCACCCAAGCTCTCCAGATCAGTCATCTCACATCATGCTGCAGCCGCAGGTGAGTCAACATCTGAGCAGTAGCTGTTCCCTTGGTTACCAACAAACACTCTATCCCAACAGTCCCTCTTCTCCAGTTCCGTCTGTTACCCAAGAGCCAACCTATTTGCAGTCCTGCAGTCCAACTCACTCATCCATAATGGGTCAGCAGCAGCACCAACTGCCGAAGGTTCAAAGAAATGAATCTCCAACAAACCAACCACTGTCATTGCCAGAGTTGCATGAGGACAGTAATCATAATTTGGCCCCTATTCCTGTAACCATCAAGAGAGAACCTGAGGAATTGGACCAGATGTACCTGGATGATGGTAAGTCTTCCACAGCTGTAGAGGTTTGCATTCAACCATATTGCTATATCAGTGAGTTCTTTTACCTGCCTCCCCCTGCCCCCCTTAGGGATTCTGGTGGAAGAAAGTGCCAATTAACGGCCTGTGGAATGGTGCAGAATTTTGCTCTGATGTTTTCTGGATGGGGAAGAGTTCTGTAATTGTGTTTGCAATAACGAAGCTGTATTATTTAAGCATTAAATGCTGTTAGTCACTGTGGAGCTAGCTGCATGACCAATAGCTACATTGCAATAATCTTAAGCATATGGTCTTGGCTTATGCCTATGCCAGTGACCTGTGGAACTGCAGTGAAAACATATTTAACTTTGTCCCATACATAATGCAGTAAAACTTCACATCTACAAATCTGCTAACTGGAACTAAATGATAAACTGCTCTATTTCAGCTGAGAAAGTTCAAATGGAAAACTAAAGCATGTTCTTCATCGTGGTTTTTCATCCTTGTTGAAAAAAGTTAAGGCTACTTTTCCTTTAGTTCCTATTGTGTATATGTGACTGATTGTTCTAGCTTTTAAGATAGACACACATTTCCACATACACGCACGCGCACACACACAAAATGCATCACTGAAATGTTAAAATGCTGTGACGAACTTGTTAGACTTTGGTTTCCAAGGATTTATTAGCTGACTATAATAATATAGTGGAGTAATCTGGAAATCTATTATATGACCTCACTACTAAGTATTCCGGTAGTACACTGAATTTTCATCTTAGTGCAATATATGAATTCCCTTTCAATAGCCATTTAATTTTTATATAACTTAGTATGTTATTTAAAAAAGAAATGCTAGTGGAATGGCTGTACTGAAATGAATTGGTGCCAAGGAACATCTGAACATGATTGTCTTTGATTACAACAAAAGACAATTCATTGGACTATTTTCCTTTTAATTTAATCATTCTGTTTTAAACAGCATGATACTTACTGAATTAGGATAAAGAGCATGAACATTTTGGATCTTGAATAACAGCAATTTGCTTTTCTCTTCTGGGAAAACGTCTTTCCTTAATAGAGCTCCTGATCAGTTACACGACAGACAGGTCTAAGGAATTTTCCTAATTAGGAAGTCAGTACGTTAGAGTTTTACATGGTTATTATACAACTTCCCTGCAGGTTTTTTTTGTGTCGGGGACAGAGTATTCTTCAATTTGACAAGACAGTCAAATTCTACTACATGCATGCTTCTATGAGAAACAAGATATAAGTCAATGCACACACATAAAATGAAACAAAAATTGGAAAGCCTGATCAAATTAAGGACTTGATAGATGACAGATAAAGGCAGGACAAGGGACAGCTTCACAGCTAAAATTGACATATAATTGTTGGAGATTTATTCTGTATCTGTTGCCATCTGTCCATTCAGGATAGCAGCAAAAGCTTGTGTTGCACCAAAAACCAGGCACTTCATGTCACATTACTCCTCTGTGATTCATCAACTGTTCTGTCCCATTCATGTTTGATCCAGTGTATTCATTTTAAAAAGTAATAAAAAATGAGGACTACTCTGCACAAGTGAGAAATAGGGAGCAGCAGAACTCCCTCATTGAAGGGGCAACACAGTAAGCTGTGTAATTGCTGCAGTTCAACAGGGAGAAGCAATTTCCACTGAAAGCATTCAGTTTGTTCTCTGCTGATGTCCACTGGAAGGCAGCGAATGAGGCTTAGGAGCCACAGGTACAAGGCTGCACAGATGTAACTAGCCAACCTCCCTTGAGATAAGGAGCCTGAGGTCACAGAGTCTGCTACAGTTTTAGCCTACAGTAATGTCATGAGGCGTTCTGCTGTAGCTGTTTATTCTGGAAAAGGATTTTATTTCCCTACCCCATGCTCATTTTCTCTCACACAGCATAAAAGACTTGGGCCTAGTAATTACTTGAAGTCACTCATCACAGTGGTAATACAATTGAACTCAGATTTCAGTCTCTACCATATTGTATAAAGCCATTCTATGACCAGCCACGGAACTACAAACTGAGAAACAGCTCAGACTTGTATTCATAATAAAAGGAACTATATTCATCTCCTGATAGCATACTTTCAAGAATTTAGGATCACACTCTAAAGTGGTAGCATAATAATCCACATATATTTAACAGACAGAGGCAATTGGCCGAACTGCAACAACATCTCAATCCCAGAAAGGTAACCCAAAAAATTGACAAACTTTTTTCTTTCTCCTATAATTAATGTTTCTCCCTCCTTCCCCATTTTTGTCTTTCCAGCTAATTTATAGTATGTGCTTCTTTTACTGACATTGGCAATTTTATATTTTGTTATTATTTTTATGATGTTCTGCATGCCAGGACCAATAATAATGTTTTGGTATGTGCAATTGTATCTTACCTTCTTTTTAAAAAACAGATTCCAGCTTTACTATCATTCCCCTACTTGGATATTAAGGTAGTAGTCAGGTGACACAAAGAGGACTTACTTCTTCCCTACCTGCCGCCTAACCATTTCATTACTTCCCAGTGTAGCAAATAAGTTCTGGGCAGATCTGTCAGTCAGAAGCCTGCCTGCCTGTCATACGCATAGACTAGTTATTAAAGCATGGGATTTTGACCTACTGACACAGTTCAGAAAAGCATCCTGATCACTGAAGTGTTTGCCTTAGACTCTTATTTGCCTCCCAGTTAGATGTTACTCACTGCAGGTGACTGTGATACCCTTAGGAATGAATAACCCCAATAAACAATGCCTTATACCATGAATATTTCATTCAAGTCATAGGGGATACTTGTGGAGCAAGACACTAAGTCGGTGGAAGGAAGAGTGTACAGAGTGGTTCTGATTAAAAAGGGGGAGGAATCTTTGTTTATTTATCTATTTAATTTTTGCTTCATTACTATTAAATTCAGCCACTGTCATTAGTTCTTGGTAGTTTATCAGTTGAAGTGGGGGGGGGGTTGTTGTTTTTTGGGAGAAGAATGTAGGCCATTTCGTAGCCTGTAATACTACCATATTTACTCAAATATAAGACAAGGGTTTTTCCCCAATCAGCATGGGGGGGGAGGGGGAAGCCCCTCATCTTACATTTGCATATAAGAAAACCTCATTAAAGAAACTGTCTAAACAGCAGCCAAAAGCAACATATGCTCAGTAATGGAAACCAACTATGAAGTTGATTAAATGCAGCCAGCACTGAGCATGACTATAAAACACATGGCCCATATTGGGCAACCATACTCATGAGAACGTTTTTGGGTTTTTTCCCTTTTTTTGGCCCTTAAATATAATTGGCAAGTTTCCCGTCCACAGGGAACTGGCAGTGGGCCTGGGGAGTACTGGAATACCAGGCTGGAACCGAGAGGGCCAGAGCCAGACCTGACACTCTCCTATGGATGCCAGAAATGCTTGATCTCAGCTGAAAGTGCCAAAATTATAACAAATTTACAATTTTTCTATATATAGAATCTAGTTATAGGAGGTCATCTTATATTCAGGGTCATCTTGTATTTAAGTAAATATGGTATTTGGATGATTAGACAGCAGAAGTCAAATTAAACCAAGGGGTAAAAAGCTTTTACAATTTAGTTTTTCATAGATTACAGTAATTGTTTTGTTATAATTTGTTGAGTTTCAAATTTCAATTCTGACTACTTAAAACTGTTAAAGAGGAGACTGAGGGGGGAATCTTGTGGCTGCCTACAACCTTATCAGGGGCCAGCAGCAGGGACTCGGGGAAAGTCTGTTCACCAGGGCCCCCCTTGGGGTCACCAGGAACAATGGCCACAAGCTGAGGGAGGATAGGTTTAGGTTAGATATTAGGAAGAACTACTTCATGGTGAGGGTGGCCAGAGCCTGGAATAGGCTTCCCAGAGAGGTTGTGCTCTCACCTTCCCTGGAAATCATCAAGAGGAGACTGGATAGGCACCTGGCTGGGGTCTTATGACCCCTGCCACCTCCAGTGCTCCTTCCTGCCCATGGCAAGGGGTCAGACTAGATGATCTGTCTAGGTCCCTCCCGACTCATTGATTCTATGATTCTATGAAATATAATTAAACTATTTTTTCAACCTTAGCCTTAGAAAACAGTATAAAGCCATAGAAATAAGATCATTTCATGTACTATATTCCTTCCCTACTGCTTAAAAATTATTAATCAATTCTCCTTCAGTTTAATAGCATAATGATAAAATCTTAAAAAGAAAAAAAAATCAGAGCCAAAAGGCCCATTCAAGAAAAAAGTGTCAGAGACTTCACAAAGTCAATTAGGAACTTTGCTAGTGCTATTAATTTTACATGGGTGGCACTTGATACTGTAGCAATGAGCAGCAATACAAAACCCAAAGACAGACAGCAAGATAGCAAGCTAATGTGATTACAGGACAAATTATAAATCCAGCCCTAGTTAGGCAGAGTAATATTTGGTGCAGACTTTTGCAAACTCATCTTTTTCTTGGTTTGATTTATAAATCTCTATTTCTAATATATATTAGAAATAAATACATAAATAAATCTTTGCCTGATATATATATATCAAGTAATCTTGGACCTGGTATAAACAGAAGTTTTTCAGTTTCAGCCTGTAGAATCAAAGCAGTCTTCATTCCTTTTGGTCTGGAGTAGGTCCAGACATAGACTACCTACACTACAGAGTTCCCAGGGGAAAAAGATGTCTGTTTGTTTTATATAGATATATGCACCGTATATGATATTTTACTGTTCGTGAAATAATGATAGTCAGCTAAAGTGATATAAAGGAAATACCCAAGGAGGCTTCTATTTTGGCAAGCAAGTGTTGTTCTTGGCAGCTTCATTTTAAACAAAAATCAATAGTGGCCACCTGGGATACCCATTATATTGATAAGTTTGTTTCAGAATGAGACCATATAGCTCAAAAATTGTCACACATTTGAAGCTCACCTTGTTAAATAATATCTGAAATGTTATAAATATATTATCAATATCAGCATGCTTCTGTCTCAGTTAGCAAAGTGCTTGCATTGGGTGTTT